CTTCGTACTTTATCAGGCGTCACTGGTCAGTATAGATCTTTTGTAGACGAAACGCGCGTCTTTCACAAATACAAAATTTAAATCCTGGTATCTATGATGAGTGTATTTACAACCACTAGGTCGATGGCACTGCTGTTGGAGTTTTTATTCCTTGAGGGTATCACCAGCCCAGTAGTCAGTGCTTCTGTGTTGATGTGAATTGTCATTGATATGGTGATAATTATACATTAATAGTTATCAAAGGTACCAGGCTTATAATTTATATAATTAATTCGCCAGACGTGCGTTTCGTCTACATACGACTCATCAGTGACGCTCAGATCAAAATAGTTATAAAGCCAAACAAGTACAAAATTGAAGAGCATTGAGGACCTAAAATTCCAAAACGTTGTGCCAAATACGGCTAAGGTAATCTGTGCCTGTTATAAGAAAATCCTTAATATTTCGAAAAATGCATACTTTTGAACACAGTAAAATTATAAAAAGGACCATATAATTGATATTCGTGTAAACACCGAAGTGCTGACTACTGGGCTGGTGATACCCTCGGGGACGAACATAAACTGTTAACATTAATTGTTAACAAAACTACTAACTAAATAAAAGTGTTTTTTCTACCTCAGGAATAGATTACCTAAGCTGTATTTGGCTGAATTTTTGTTCCTATGCTCTTCAACTTGGTAATTTCTTTGGCCTTATTTTACTTTTTTTTATTTGAACGTCACTGATGAATCTTTTGTAGACGACACGCGCGTCTTTTTCAAATACAAAATTTCAATCCTAGTATGATCGGTTAATTGATACAAAAATAACCTAAATATTGTACTTACTGACAACGTTATAGCTATGCGTCGGAGCCAATTTTTAAGAAATGTACTACTTCCTTGTGTGTCCTTTTTAACCGTGCTCACAACATAACTTAACTCCCAATTTTTGACTTCTACTTTATTTAATTGGATATTATGATCTGTTGTAAGAGAAACACCTAAAGCTTTTGTCAAAACATAATTTCAATGAAATTCAAGTTCAAATTGGACTGGTAGCAATGTATGCATTATACAGTGAAATCTGCATATAGATGATATAAATAGTTACCAAAATGAGAATATTTTTTACAAATACTTCCCATTTCTAATTCGTTAATATATACTAATATATACAAATACTAATGTTTCTACCTTTATGGTTGTTTTTTATAAGAAATTCTTTGCTTAATTTCTATATGGAAGTTCAAACACAAAATAAAATTGAAAAGTGTGTCCCCCCTTTTTTCTGCAAGTTTGAAAATGTTAGTATGTTATATCATAGATCATTAGAGCAATGTATTTATGTCATAGCTAGACAACTGACTAAAGATATTGAAAATCGCTTTCATGTAAGATTTTGGAATTTTAATGTTAGTATACCTCAGTTTCTAAGTTATACATTGTCACCATTAGAAACCAAATAAAACATATAAATGCCCAACAGTATTTGAACAAATGCTATTGTTTAACTATAAATTAGTCATATTTTAAAGGTCTCGTTGATTTCAGTCTAAAATTATGTAAACATTAAAATTTCAAATTTAAGTCTTAGCTGCATTCATATTAAATGCATAATCAAAAAAGGCTGAAATACAATATCATACATGTTATAATAGTTGAGGGTTGTAATTTGACATCTTCATAATTTTATGCAAAGTGATAACGAACCACTAATGTGACAAAATAAATTGTTGTTGTTTCTGTGAACAAAGCTTTTAATAATACTGTTTTTGTTTGTAAATCGGACTACTACGAATAAGAAATAAATGAGCACTCAATCAATTTTAACGTAATGTCTTCAATGAACATAACATTGAAGAGCAAATCTGAGAAATTACCTTGTTTGTATTGAATACATAAGCTTCAAAATATTCCTAACAAACAACGGTGCATTGCCGGCTCCTCTCCATGTTCACCAAGGAATTGTGCATTATACAGACAAAAAATCTGTCCGCAGTGAATGAAAGTCTTAAAAAATACTGAAAAAAACTGTTAACTCGCGAAGTTGTATTAACAATATACGGATTCTAAAAACAAGAAAACTTCTGAAATAAATTTTACCAAAAACCTTTAATTTTGCAACCGTTTGTACCACCAGTCCCTATGTGAAACAAAAAAAAATCGTCTTAAAGAAATAATACATAATGCTTTTCAATATAACTTACGATATAACTTTATAGCTTTTGGAAAAGACACGGACAAATTTTGTGAATAGTGAACTAATGGTATAACACGCTCTACCGAGGAACACGTGGACAGTATGATAGAGGTTCTTAATGAGAACATATTTGTTGAATTTGGAAGTAGACTTTTTCAACACATTGTCTGGACTCCTATGGTCACGAATTGTGCGACTCTCTTTGCAAACTTATTCTCATTTTATTGAAGTGGTAGATACTTCAGACACTTGTCAATGGACAAGAATATCAAAGAAGCCAGATCATTTAATTTCTCAATCAGATATTTTAATGTTATTCTTTTCATTAATAATCCAAATGTTTCTTATTGGTTCCATTGATGTATCCTCCAACACAAGAAATTAAAAAAAACAACAAACACTGTTTACTCCGCCTCGATTTTTAATTCGTGATTTTATTTGCAGGTGTGTTGATATGACATAGTTACCGTAGTAACAGATTCTACCTGATAAAGAGATTTCAGCATATTATACATGGTAAGTTTCGCTATCTGCTTATGTGTATACATTGTATGCATTGAATTTGTACATTTTTATATGAATGCTTATCTAACTGTTTCATTCTATTGTAAGAACGGATTTTTCTAACTTTGCGTGAACAGTGTAACCTCTTTTGGCTATGCAAACCTAATCTAGTAGTATCTCTGTCAGGAAATGTTTAGATATTTGAAGATGTGATATGAATGGCAATGAAACAACGTTCCATCAAAGTCACAATTTGTAAAAGTAAACAGTAATAGGTCAAAATAAGGCCTTCAACACGGAGCCTTGCTTACACCGAACAGCAAGCTATAAAGGGCTTCAAAAAGGACATGTGTAAAACCATGCAAACAGGAAAACCAACGGTATAATCTATATAGCAATGAGAAACGAGAAACACTTATCAACCACATCAATAAACGACAACCACTGAACATCAGGTTCCGAACAGGTGCAAACAAATGCAGCGGGTTTAAACGTTTTAATAGGCGCCAACCTTCACCCAACTGAAACAATAGTTTAACATTACAAAATAGAGAGACACACTATAAAATATCAATTGAAATGGCTTAACTCAATCAGAAGACATATTAACAAAAACAAGTGAACATATGCATCCAGAGTATAACAATGAAATATCATATGATTAGATCACAAACGCCAATAGTTTCTGTCGGTAAGACTATTCTTTTGGGTGTCATATTGAGTGGTTGTATTTCGTCTGTGACACGCTTCAAAAAGATTTAATTTCGCCTTACACCAAAACTATATATCTTCAAATTATGAACTTAAGTATATTTCGCGGGTATTTTCTAGTATAAAATAAGTAAACAGTAAATAACAAAAATGCATTACAGGTAAAAATAACACGAAAGTACGAGTTGAAAGTACTCGCAATTACTGAAAGCTAGTTAAAAGCCAATCACAATTAATAATACAAAAGCAGGCATTAGAGACTAAAATCAACTAAAACACATCCCAGGAATTGAGTGTGTTAACGTCATGGACAGTCAAAGAAGAAATGACTTGTGCATTGCCAAAATAAAAGTATATATAGGTATGCTATAAAACAAATATTTGACGCAAATTACTGGACAAACCAGATCTGTACCAAACCTGAGAAGAATTATCAAATTCTCCAGGCAGCCATATGGTCAACAAAATCGACGTAATGGTGTTGAAGAACATTGTTTCAATTCGAGCGCCACATGCGACTAGTATGTAGATAAAACGTGTGTTTAGCGATCCAAATTATAAGCCAGATACGCTTAATGAGGATTTTAACGACAATTTCTAAGGCGTATAGTTCAAGTTATATAAAACGTTCACGTTCTATAATTCAACCGCACAAAATCACAAATCAAATATCAAAACAGAATATATACCCCTTTTTAATGATTATTAAGAAAAAATATGATATACATTTTGAACGAAAACCACAAAAACTGCTGTTTTGGCTCTCCTATCCATGTGTTTTATTTAACAAATTCTTGAAGCTTTAAGGTGGTTCCGAACACCTTGACTAAAATCAATTTGTCTTGTTTAAATTTCATAAAATTTTTACAAAATATTAACGTTATTCCTTTAACAAAAATTTCAAATTTCAAAAAACTTGAAACACACACTTTATCGAAAAAAACTCATTAGATATATAGCTGTTTGATAAACATTTTTTGTAATCAATGAGAAGCTTAAAATCTCATTAAAAATATAACGTGATAAAAACTTTCAGCTGATTTAATATAGCTATCTCCCTGGAGTGTTATGTACCACCTTCATAGACTGTTAATGATATCATATAATTTTAATTTATTTTTCTCTTTTTTATTCATTATAGACATGGAAAGGTACATACGGGTCGTGTTTTTTCTGCAACAGATTGTAACAGAACTGGTCACAAAATATTTAGAAAGCAAATATCTGCCAGACAACTTTCAAACGTTTCTGCTTAATCAGAGACATTCTATGTTCCATCTGTATATTCAAAAGCCGTGTTGTACCTGTGGAAATAATATAAACCTTCCTAGGACACGAGTGATTAATCAAGTCCAATTCGACAAAATTATATGTGCCAGAATACAACGTCTGTTCAACTTCTGTAAGGAGAGAACATTCGTGTATTTATACTGCATCATCAAATGTCAAAGTATCAGAGCTAGATATAACATTGACGATAGCAATTCTGAAGAACTGCTTCACAACGTCTTTAACACAGCAAGAAAAAAAATGGCTAGACGATATCAGAAAAATTAGAAATGACATTTCGCATCTTACAATTACTAGCGACATCAGCGAAAATGATTTTAATCGTATGTGGTTAACTTTGGATAACTCTACTATTAATTTGACTAATGTATTCCGACCAAAACACTCTAATGATATCAAGTTAAGAATACAGCAGCTGAAAAATAGAGAGGTGTTAGCTTCTAAATATGATTGCATGGAATGTTTACAACAAATACTATTATGGAAATCTAATGACGAAGTAAGAATTTTTTTTTAAAGTTACTAAAACTTTTATACGTCAACAATTCACTAATGTTTATACCATCTGCAAAGCTATCACCCCCATTTTTTGGTGCTGTTCGTGTTGCTTAGTCTTTATTTCTTTTTTTTAGCCATGACGTTGTCAGCTTATTTTCTATCGACGAGTTTGAATGTCCCTCTGGTATCTTTGGCCCCTGTTTAATCAATCTTCAAATCATACCTTATGCGATGAAATTTAACTAGACTGCAAAATATCTAAAATAAATAAATTGAATTTAAGGACAATGAGTAGATATTAAAAAAGATAAGCGCTAACTTTGACCCTGACGTTATTCCAAAACTATTTGAAATTTCATTACGCTTATAGTGCAAAGCATTTTCTTTTCAATATCATAAAATATGGTCTCATGATAAACAAATGCTTTAAAAAGTTTTTCAAATGTTCTTAATATAGTCGTTGGTTGATAACAGTCTGTACAATTGAAATCCAATCAATGACCCTGTTATTTATCTTTTCGGGTACAAACAATACAATTACCAATTGTAAATGCATAACTTAAACAATTAAGGGAAAACGTAATCTTAAATATCATCATATTTTATATAGATATAAAAAAATGTGGTATGAGAGCCAATGAGATAACTCTCCGATCAAGTCACAATCTATTAAAGAAAACCACTATAGGTCAAAGTACGGTCTTTAATACGGGTCCTTGGCTCACACTGAACAGCAAGCTATAAAGGGCCCCAAACTTTACTAGTGTAAAACCATTGAAACGGGAAAACCAACGGTCTATTCTATATAAAAAACGAGAAATGAGAAACACTTATGAACCACATCAACAAACGACAACTACTTAACATCAGATTCCTGACTTAGGACAGGTGCAAACAATTGCAGCGAGTGTAAACGTTTTAATGGTACCAAACCTTCATCCTTATCTGAAACAATAGTGTTGCATCACAACATAGACAGACACACTATAAAATATCAATTGCAATGACTTAACTCAATCAAAAGACTTAATTAACACAAGTAAACAGACACTGAACGAAAACATATTATTTGACTAATATATATATTTAGTGACTTTTTGTTGTTTTTTAGAATATAAATGAAAACCTGAAAAAAAATTCTAGAACAACTAGAGAGAATGGAAGCCCCTTTTGCTAGAACAGGTATATGTTGTTTTGTAATTTGCACATGATTATTCCAATATATTATGTTTCAACATATGAAGGGTCAAAACCAGACTTCAGAATATCAAAGCAGTATCCTTCTTCGAAAATTAAAAGCAGTCTATAAGTAATTTCACGATATTTCGTTTTTTTGTGCATTTATATTAGAAATCATTGAACAGCATCATAATATATTAAAATGATTTATATAGCGCATGATTGTAAAACAAAGAGATACAATCCCACAAAATGTGCGAAGAAATATCTTAAATAAACAAGATACACGTTAGAAGCAGCAAATGTTATGTATTTTCCTTTTTAATTAAAGAAATTGTGTTTCTCGAAAACCCGTTAACAGAATTTTGTTTAAACATTGTACTTCAATTCTTACAGAATTGATAGTAGGAAAATATTAGGGACATATTCGATTCCGTTTTTTTAAATAGAAATCAACACTTCTCGATACGTAGCGTAAAGAAAATGGTCAAAACGACAAAACAATCGTAACGATTTTAGCTTCACTCTGCAAAATCGTGTCTTTTATTTGTTTGAGTTCTTTTTCATTCAGTATCACTTATGCGTTAATGAATTATAAACCACGATCCATGCCACTGACCCCCTGATACCTTCCTATAAATGCTACATATTTACTTTTTACAATATCAAAATTCAGTTTACCAAGTTCTTAATGCATAAACTATTTCATTCAATCCCGAAATATCGTCTAATTAAAACTTAAGTAAAATGCTTGTCTTAATTATTGTATATTATTTCTTATTTATTTACGAGGTGTATTAAACAGAAGGCATATACAACTTAAAGAAAACAACATGTTCCGTACCATGTCAGCTGATATGGATAACAATTAAACAGATGGTTAAAATAAGAAAAATATATAAGAAATAGAATATTTCTCTTTATCAGTTATCGTTGTATTTTGTATTGTTTTTACATACCAACGCTTTTGACAACGGTAGTCTCTGCTGTCATGTAGTTTTGATGAAAAAGGGTAGTAAATAAATTTTATTTGCAGACATGAAAAAAGGTATATAAAGTGAAGTGATCATTTTCAAAATAAACTCATTTATGTTAATTTGAAAAAAAAATAAGAGAAGGAAGATCCAAACAGTAGAATAACAAAAAAAAACGAACTTCAGGGAAGATTTAAAGATAGAAAAATCAAAATCGACTAAACTTGTTGTTCGTATATCTCTCTGTTTTAATTTTGTAGGCATACTTGCTATTCAGATTCAACAGAGCACTTTTACATACACATATGGCAGCCAGGTTGTAATCCCATGCGTAATAACCGCATCAGATTCTATAATAACAAATGTTTACTGGGAGAGATATTCAAACAACGGCAAAATACAGATAAAGAACGGTGACAGTGGATACCAAGGCATTACACCCACAACACCTTCGTTGATAATTAATTGTGTAGCATTAGAAGATGCAGGAATATACATATGTCATATAGAAAATGCTAATGGTAACCACACCAGTTATCCTGTTACCATAACCGTTAATGGCGGTAAATATCTTCAGGATTTACAAAATATAGGTTAGGCAAACTGAGCTCGTTGTTTTGTACCAAATAATTTCAAAGTAATACTATAACCTAAAAAAAAACATTACGTATATATGACCATAAATCACATTCAGTCTAAGGGGTATCGATGGCCGAGTGACCTAAGAAGTTACACTACTGTATCATTAGCCTGTCAACATTGAGGGTGTGTTTATATATGCAGGTGCATTTGACTCAAATCTGAATTGAATAGTATTGTCAGCCAAAGAAAGAAGATTTCTTTTTGCACTCCAGCTCCCTCCACCAATACGAACGGACCTCCATAATAGAATGTATTAGTACTTAATGTGGTGTTCAAACAATTATCAATTCATCAATTATTTAGTCAAGCACATATTTCTTAATGTACACAACTAAAACCAAATTTGTCCTCTTTCATGGCTTCTCGATATTACTATTGGTCCGATTAGTGCTGATATTATTTATGGAAGACATCATACCTTTAAGTGTTGGGTGAGTGAAATGCCATCTGCTACATCAATACATGGCAGTTTATATCCACACTCTGGATGCTGGGAACCTTGATGGGAAATATACCGGTGTTTCAACAAAAAATATTTTTCTGCCTGTGACCAATTTCCAGCAAGCTGACGCCGGATCAAATGTTTGCTTTGTAACTAATTATGTTGAAACATCTTTAAGTAATCCTCGTTTTGGTTTTATCATGTATAAGTAAGTAAAAAACTGCATACTTACTTACATTGCCACATATAAGTTAAAGATAAACACTGTGCCATTTTTTTTTCATAATCACACTATCTAAAGGAGAAGCCATATCTTTCATTAAGAGCATATAGATTGAGAACCCCATGGATAACAATCGATGAGCTCATGGTGGTGTTTATTTCATGTAAATATCTGGAAAAAGGCTGCATGATGTAATGATATACAACTACAAGAGAAACAACAGTCTATAAAACGACCGCGCTACACAAACCACACCAAAAATCAGGCTGATCTTATTTGCTCCAGAAGGATAAGCAGATCCTGCGTAACATGTGTCGTTCGTTGTGTTGCTCATGAAGGTGTAAATCAGTGATAAGTCTCATTCTGCGTTATCATGTGAATGTAGAGTAACAAAGTTAAAATTTCCATTTAAAACGATCCAATTGATCTCGTCAGTTGTCTTGTATTAAGATCTTTGCAAAATGGACGAAACTTGTTATCGTGCATTTGTTTTCACTTATTTTTATGGCCTACCTGCAAATCGGATTCAAAAGAATACTTTTACGCACACATGTGGAAGCCAGGCTTTAATCCCATGCACCATCTCATCAGATTCTATGATTACCAATGTTTACTGGGAGAAGCGTTCTAACAACAATAATGTGCTTATAAAGAACGGTGACAGTAGATACCAAGGCATTACACCCACAACACCTTCGTTGATAATCAAATGTGTAGCATTAGATGATGAGGGAATATACATATGTGATGTAGAAAATGCTGCTGGTACCAAATCCAGTCTTCCTGTTACCTTAAACGTTAATGGTGGTAAATATTTTAAGGATTTACTGAATATAGGTTAGGTAGTATTAGCTCGTCGTATTGCACCAAATAACCTTTTTATATTACAACAGCTTCAAAATAATGATACGTATATATGACCATAAACTACATTTAATCGAATGGTCTCGGTGGCCGAGTGGCGTTCCCAGCAGCCTCCAAACCATGTTGCGCGTTTCGGTATAAATCGCCAATCAATTCCTTGTAAAGAAAATGCTTCCTGTAATTTCTCAGATTTACATACTTGTGTTATTTCATCTGACGAAACAAAGGTAGGTGCATTGTTTGACAGAATAAATCGGGGTAAAGATTTCCTGCTAACACTACGCCTAAACGCTTGTAAAAACGGGTCCATTGTTAAGTTTGTTACTACTTCTAAATGTATTGCTCTTGTCAAAGCGCATGTAAATAAGTAAATGATCTTTCAATCAGTTTAATTGAAGTCTGGAGCTGGCATGTCAGTTAACTGCTAGTAGTCTGTTGTTATTTATGTATTATTGTCATTTTGTTTATTTTCTTTGGTTACATCTTCTGACATCAGACTCGGACTTCTCTTGAACTGAATTTTAATGTGCGTATTGTTGTGCGTTTACTTTTCTACATTGGCTAGAGGTATAGGGGGAGGGTTGAGATCTCATAAACATGTTTAACCCCGCCGCATTTTTGCGCCTGTCCCAAGTCAGGAGCCTCTAGCCTTTGTCAGTCTTGTATTATTTTTAATTTTAGTTTCTTGTGTACAATTTGGAGTTTAGTATGGCGTTCATTATCACTGAACTAGTATATATATTTGTTTAGGGGCCAGCTGAAGGACACCTCCGGGTGCGGGAACTTCTCGCTGCATTGAAGACCTGTTGGTGACCTTCTGCTGTTGTCTGTTCTATGGTCGGGTTGTTGTCTCTTTGACACATTCCCCATTTCCATTCTCAATTTTATTGCTTGAATTAACGGCTTGTCTGTGTGTCTTACATGAAGTGCTCCTGTAAAATCTATCCCTATAGCCGTAAACGGTGGCGCTTCTAGACGCTTATTGGTGGTTTTTCTATTATTTTACGGCACGTCACACATCTTATCAGCATTTTTCTTACAACTTGTCAAATTGCAGTTATCCAAAATGTCTGTCTAACATGAGTTATTGTCATATTAACGCCTGAATGTAAAACCTGCGTATAAGCGTCCATTATGATGAGTTCAGATAATGCGTGATTTGATAATAGTATATAAGGGAATTTTGCGGATTCTGGTGATGGTGCGTTGTGTATTCGTCCTTGACACCGCATAAGTTTGTAGTTATGTTAGAATAAACGTAGTTGTCTTATTCTGGGCAAATTTGTTTTAGTTTTCATTTTCATCAGTTGAAATCTCATTTGACTGTTTTCCTGATCATTCATTAAAACAGATAATAATTCGTCGTTTAAATTGTGGAAATTTAGAAGTGTCCGTTAGCCAACTGGGTCCCTTTTTCCATAATGTACCTTCCTTATACTTCTCGCTTGTTATACCATGGGTTAACAAATCGGCTGGAATACAGTCAGTTTGGAAGTATTCCCATTTATACAAATACGTCAAATCATTTATCTCGATCACTCGATTTGTAATAAACCGTTTTAATGTTTTTGTTGATTCTAACCAATGAAGGACGATCTGGCTGTCTGACCATATAGTTATGCTTGTACATTCCAATGTGGATTTAAGGTGATTTACTTATCATACACCAATAACTGTGGCCATCAAGTCGAGTTGCAGGAATGTAAATTATCTAAGCGGGGCTACGCTTGTCTCTGTCATCACTTGTGTGCTATCACTTACGTTACACTAGTATTCTACTGCACCATAAGCCTTTGTAATAGCATCAACAAATACGTGTTAATCAATTTCTGTTGAGTTGCAACTAGTTTTGGAAAATAAGTATCCACTAAATACCTCATTTGTTACTTGTTTAACGTCTTTGACAAGATCAATCCATGAAATACATATGACATCATCACCTATTTGGTCCCAGTCAAATCTTCTTTTCCATACTTCATGTAACAGAACTTTATATCTAATTGTAACTGGACTTAACAGTCCGAGAGGGTCATAAATTCGTGCGGAATGTTTCAAATTTTCAAGCTTGGTTACTATTTGTGAAGAATTTAGAATGTTTCGTTTTGGGTAAAACAGTTCATTGGTTTTGCTGTTTCATCGCATTCCCAAAATCTCTGTTTCTTCATCTGTATCGAGTACGTTTTCTGTTGCTGCTAATGTACAAACCTGTTTACTGTTTCAGGTCAATGATCTTAGATTAAATCCAGCTTTTTCAATGATGTACGAGATTCTTTGAAATAAACAATGGCGTCATCTTCCTTATCTAAGCTAGACATTATGTTGTCAACATACATGTCCCTTTCTAATAATTTCGTTGTTGTATTGTCGATTTGCTGTCAATGTTTTGATAACGTGGCATTTGGAATTAAAGCTTTAAATATGTATTCAATCAAATGGCTATCAGGATCTGATGGATAACTTAGATATAGAAAACGGGTGATATCCTTGTCGTCTTCGTGTAGTCCAACATGTAGAAAAGTTTTTTCGATGTCCGTTGTTATGGTAAACGGTTGAGTCGAAATCGAATTTAAACTTCTTTAAATCATTCATTTCGGCGGGTTGTTCATTAGACAGTCATACAAACTATGATCGTTAGGTGAAATTCGGCAAAAACAATCGTACACTATTCTAACTGGCGTCGTGCTTGAGTCATTTTTTACAGGATGATGTTGGATGTAATGAACTTTGTTTGGAATCAACTCAGTTTAATTTACTCTTTCAATAAATCCGCGGTTTGTTGTTTTATGATCCGTTATGATATCGTTTTACATACTTGGTTCTTGGCGCAGTCTTTTTGTTACATGCAACATAGTTTAATGGTAACTCAACGTGGTCGTTTTTCCGGGGTAACTTTGCGTAATATTTGTTGTCTCGAAACTCAAACTTCTTATTTAATCATTCTCTTTTTCGTGCACAATCGGAGATTCATTTTATATAGCCTCGATCTTCCAAACCGCTTCTTAACCGTGCTTCTCTTTCTTACATGAAATAAGTACATTGAAAATACTTGACGCTTTTGATAACTGTGATTTTTCTGAATGTAACAGTCCAGATCGTAAGTACCCTAGTTTCGATTTGACTACGGTTTGTCTGCATCAGCGTATAACTTCATCTACAACTATATCCCAATGAAAATCCGTTCCAATTTATAGTGAAATTTCCGAGGTATCCTGAACTTGCGTTACTGGATATGCGAGCTATCGCCCTTTCAGATAGTTACTGTTCCTGTTGATGTAAAGAATGTGGTTCTGTAACGGCATAGCTATATGTATCATAGGAACGACTTAAACTTGTATCGAGATTTTATATCTAGGTCCAGTTTCAACAGAAATAGTGACTTTATCAATCGTCTAGCAGTCGTGTTGATTTCTCCAAATGACGAAAGTTGAATATTGTCGGATCCTTCTCTCTGCAGGTTAATTTACGCACAAGACTTTCCGTTACAAAAGACCTTCTAGAGACTTCACCAAACAAAATGCTCGTATTTGTGTAATGATGATCTGACCAAACGGGGGCCACAGCGGTTTTCAGCAGTATATTTGAGTGAAATTGTGCTGACGAGTGTAAAATTGTTGAGCCTTCTTGTATCTCGGTATCCTTCACAAGTTTTACCACAGTTGATGTCGATGGCGTACTTTCGTTCTTACAACTGTTAACAGAATTATTCGTGTCAGTAAAACGGTAATCACTTCTCTAATCAGGGTTCGCGGTGTGTTCAGCTTCACAACAAAATCTAGTGTGGTGCCGTTTACTACAATTACGACATGAGCTTTTAGATTTGCATACCTTTAAGTGACATATACTGAGGCAGTTGAAACATAAATTGTTACGTTTAACGATAGAGAGGCGTTTGATTTAAACCTCGTATTTTCGGTTAGTTAGTAGGCGAATGAATAACTTTACAGAAAATACACGGCTTAGCTGTTAAATAATGTAAATGCTGATTCGCATTTCTAGTACCTGTATTGTGTTTTTGTTGTGATTTAGCATCGGCTAAAAAGATTGTTGTCGAAATATCACTTTCTGTTTATGTTACTTTTCGGCTTCCATAAGTTGTATCTCTATTTGTATACTTCTTCGAAGATCTCGTAATAGCCAATTTGTTGTAACATGCTCCCGAGCGAGATGTTTTCTAATTTCTCCGGGCAATTTGTTTATTATAATTGGGACTAATACATTACCGTACGAGTCCTGTGGCTCTCCAAGCGATTAATGTCCTTAAGATATAAAATCTGCATTTGTGTCGAGCCAGCGACTGAGATGTTTTACCGGTATTGTTAAATTTCCACCACTTTCTGTTTAAGAGCCTCTAGATATTTCTGTCGATTCTGCTGATGCTATCAT